CGCACCCCCTCCTAGGGGCCCCTTCATCACCCCAAGGCTGGGGGCTTGCTGCTTTGGCAGGGCGGCCAAGCCTGGTGCTGCCTCATGAGCTCATGGGCCTCTCCCTGCCCTCTCCTCAGCTATGGGATGCGCTACGTGGCCAAAATCCTGAGGACATCCTTGGCTGAGAAGTTCCCCAACGCCTCAGAGGAGGAGATCGACAAGGTACCCTGCGGCTGAGCAGGGGGGTCTGCATAGCTTGAGGGGGTTCAACTGTGTGTGCATGTGAAAGGCCAGTATCCCTCTGCAGAGGGTCAAGTCCTCTTGGCTTAAAACCACCTTTAGGTCAATGTTTTCCTTGAGCTGCTAAGGAAATGCAGACAGCGGGCGCTGCTTTGTGCTGCTGTCCCCTCCAGGAGGGTCCCACCGGGCAGTGCAAGGACACAACAGCCTTCCCTGCTGAGCTACCACCTCTTCGGGCACCAGCCCACTGCTCCCCAACCCCCAGCCTCTCTTATGCCCTAGATCGTGGGCAACCTGCTCTATTACCGCTTCATGAACCCAGCGGTGGTGGCCCCTGACGGCTTCGACATCGTGGATATCTCGGCCGGGGTGACCTTGCATCCTGACCACCGCCGCAGCCTGGGCTCCGTCGCCAAAGTCCTGCAGCACGCGGCCGCCCGCAAGGCCTTTGCCGGGGAGAACGCGCATCTCTGTGGGGTGAACCAGTACCTGGAGGACACTCACAACAAGTTCAGGTGGGCATCAGGGTGGGAGGGTGGCTGCAAGCCGGTTTTGGGGGCTGACCAAAGGGGTCCCTCTCTGCAGGAGGTTCATCTCCGCTGCCTGCTGTGTTCCCGAGCCAGAGGAGAGGTTTAACGTGGATGAATACTCGGAGATGGTGGCGGTGGCCAAACCAGTCATCTATATCACGGTGGGGGAGCTCATCAACACGCACAAGGTGAGGGCATAAAATTAATCTGCAACTGAGCAGGCCTTGCTTCTGCTCCCACCCCCTGGGCTTTCTGCCGTGTTTCATCACGTTCCTCTGTATCCCGCTGCCCGCACAGCTCCTCCTGGCCTTTTTTAATTTTTCCTTTTTAAGCAAGCGAAGAATCCAGGTTCTGCAGCTTCTCCACTGCTTGTCCTTCCCCCAACCCCACACCTTGGCCGTCCCCTCTCGGGTGCAAGGGGCGCATTGCCTTGTTCCCAACCGACCTTCACTCCCTCTTTCTTTGCACGCCCCTTCGCTCTCCTCCCTTGCACCATCCAGCTCCTGCTCGAGCACCAGGACTCCATCGCGCCATGCCACGGAGACCCCCTGCATGAGCTTCTGGAAGACCTCGATGAGCTTCCTACGGTCCAGTCCCTTGTCGGTAGGTAGAGCTTTGGGACCCACCACCCATCCTGGCAGGAGGAGGATGGAGATGGGGATTGCTTCGGGCATAGGGAAGCCAGCCCTCCTGAGCCCCGCGTGGCTACTTGGACTCTCTCCGCTCTGGCAGGGGAGAGCGTTCCCAGCCCGGCGGATGCCAGCGCTGAGCAGGCGCTCTCCCAGTTGGGCAAAATGGAGATCTCCCTCACCCTCACCGGCAAGCTGGTGCCGACGGCTGGCAGCGAGGAGAGCGATGCAAGGAGCTTGCTGTTGAGGTGAGGACGGGCTCCACAGGCTTCAGGGGAGCTTCTGGGGGTTGGGATGCTGGCTGGGATGCTCAAGAGGGACAAGAAATCCTTGGGAGGCAGCTAAACGTGCTGCTCTGATGGTGATCTGGAGGGTGATGGTCTGGAGTTGGATGCCTGACATCTTCCTCTGGTCTCTAGCACCAAGCAGATGCTGGTGGATGTGATCCAGTCCCAGCCAGGAGATTCCCTCCCGGAGATCCTGTGGACGCCGGCCTCGGAGCACGAGGTGGGATGCGCGAGGCTGCTGCGGGGGATGAGCTAAAAACGTTCTCAGGGAATGGCAAAAAAGCTGCCCCGTTCCTCTTTGAAGGCTTGGCCACGGCTTTTATGCGCCCAGCAGCGTCTGGGCTCCGTTCTTCAGAGAAGGCATGTGGTTTGGGCCAGGAGAGACTCATGGAAGCACGTGTTGGGGGGGTTGATTGCTCCATCTCATCGTGTCCCCTTCCAGCCGTGCACCAGGCTCACCCCCTTCTTGTCCCTAGGAAGCCTCCCACGACCGCCTCATGCACAGGCGAGCGCTGCGGGATGCCCAGACCCCCACCAAGCTGAAACGCAACCGCTCCCTGGTTGCCAACAGCCAGCTCTCCATGGAGGAGAAGAAACGCAAGATCATCCGCAACCTGCGGCGTTTGGAGAGCCTGGGGCTGGTGGACTCTGCCCATCAGTACCAGGAGCTTGTCGACGAACTGGCCAAGGTGCGTTGGGGGACACTGGGTGGGGAGGTCACCTCCGTAAACCCGCTTGAGATCCTGCTCTGGTGGTTCCATAAAGCTGAGAATGAGTTATATCTGTGTTTTTTTGCGTGGCTTCGTTTTCCGTAGGACATCCGCAACCAGAGGCGTTACCGGCAGCACCGCAAAGGGGAGCTTCTGAAGCTGAGACAGACCCTGCAGGGCCTCAACACCAAGACCTTGTTTTATGAGGAGCAAATTGATTACTACAACCAGTACATCAAGACCTGCCTTGACAACCTGGCAGCCAGCAACAAGTACGCTTCCTTCCAAAAAAAAAAAACCCAAAACCCCAGTAATTAAAAAAAAAAAATCTGGATGAGTCCTGGAGATGTTGGGGAGGGTCTGAGGGGTTGCATGTGGCTGGAGACGGGCTCTGAGTTTGTGGTTCCTTCCCTTCAAGGGTTGGTGGGAAGAACAAGAAGCTGCAGTCACTGCGCTACACGGCGGCCCGGCTCTTGGAGAAAGGGGTGCTGCTGGAGATCGAGGACTTGCCGCTCAGCCAGTAGGTAGCCCCTGGGCCGTGGGATGGGCTATGGCAAGGCAAGCTTGGGTAGGTAGAGGAAAATAGCCTGGGAGGAAAGCGCACGTGGGCCCACCATTGTCCTCCCCCAAGGATGGGGTGAGTTGGTTTGGGTATTACCAGACCAGGGGAGAGCTGGGATCT